AACCGGACCGCAAGGCGTTGGGCTACAAGGAGTCCGTTCTAAGGAATAAGAAGCAACCCTCATTCCAGCTCTCAATTTGGAGGGCCAGGAGACTAAGTTTGTCTGGGGTCTAACGACTGACCAATCTGGTATGAGTGGCTCTGAAGGTGCAAGAAAGCATCACCCAGCATAGCTCAATGGATCGCTGAGGCACGCAAACCATCGCACCTGCACCTGCGCACACCAAGCAGCAGACGACACCGGTACAAGCTTGTCGCACCGGATTTGAGGAGGATCGCTCATCAACTTCGCTTCGAGCGAAGGATGGTGAATATTTGGAACAATCTGCCTGAAGACAGTCGAAGCAAATTTGATGTCGGAATTCAAGAAACTCTTGGACTCCCATTTTACCGACTTGAGATTTCCAGTATAATCACCATCGTCAAAGGCAGATTTGCATGAAAAATATTAGATGCAGCTATACAGAGGCATCTCTCCTCGCTGCATTTTCTCAGTATTCACTCAGGTCGTCAAACTGAAGGTGGTACAAGAGCACTGTAGATTCCCTTCGGGTCGCAGCACCATCGATATGGTGTTCCCGGCACGTCAGCTTCAAAAGAAAGATAGTTAGTGACACCAGCCATTGTACTCGACATTTGTTGATTTCACCAAAGCATTTTGTACGGTGAAGCGCAAGGCATTATGGTTGAAGTTGAGTAAGTTTGGCTGTCCGAGTAGTTTTGTAAATGTAATTGAATGCTTGCACAGTGGTATGCGGGCGAGGCTGCAGCTGAGTGGACAAACCCCGGATGACTGCTGTTGTCTCTGTTTGTGAAGCAAGGTTGCGTCTTAGCTCCTGTCCAGTTTGATATTTATCTTCATGCAATGATGTCTTGAACTTTTGATACTGCTTGTGATTACAGTTTCCGTGTGGAACACCGCACTGATGGTGGGTAACTGAACATTTGTCTTTTCGGGGCGAAAACTATGGTGTGTGAGACAGCCATCCGTAGGTTGCTGTTCGTTGATGATTGTGCGTTGTTAGCGCATAACGCGGATGAGTTGCAGCACATGAATTCGGCTCTCGCATCGACAGCAGCCAAAATCGGGCTCACTATCAACGCTAGCAAACGGTTTGTCGTTTTCAGCCTACACCAAGAATGGGATCCGTATGTTTGCCGCGAATCCATATCGGTGACGACGTCTTGAAAATCAATCCGAGAGAATGTTACCAGGGTAGTGTAGTTTGGACAGACCTGCAAATGATGAGCGAGCTACGTTTCCGCATATCGGAAGCGGCTATTGTGTTTGGCAAACTGAAGAAACTTGTGTGGAACATTCACCAGATTACCGTTGCCGTCCGTTCTTCTATGCGGCAGTGAAACCTGGACGATGTACCGGAAGGACGTCAGATATCTGGGGCGATTTCATCAGCAGTGTCTGCGACGGATGCTGCGCATCCTCTGGTGCGACAGTGTTGCAGACACGGAAGTGCTGCACCACAGTGACATACATGTAGTGGACTGCATCCTTCTACTGCGGCACCTGAGTTGGCTGGGGAATACAAGTCGAATGAAGTCGACGAGGATAAATAAACAGCTTTTGTACGGCCAACTTAGTGCAGAGAAGCGACCCGCGGGCAAACCGAAATTACGTTGCCAGGATATGACCACGGTGAGTTTATCACGAACTAACGTTGATTTCAGGTGTTGGGAATCAAAGGCATTGATCGCCACGGATGGCGTGAGTTGACCAAGAGAGCGGCTGTCCAGGTGCAGCAGAGAGTACTGTTACATGCGGAGGAGAAACGTCGTGTAAAGAGGCAATAGGTACCGATGGAGTCTAACCCATCGGGATCAAGCGCATGGTGCTGTAGCACATGTGATTGCGATTGCCTGAGCCAAGTGGGTTTGATAAGCCACCAGCGTGGCTACGTGGGGTCAACATCCAAAAGATGGCGAGCCAACTGATTATCTAAGCCTAATCAGTGCAGCGATTGGTAGGTGCGCTGCAACAACTTCCATTTAATTTACTAACCTAAGCCAATAAAGCGACTGATGTGGTATGTGTGCCGCATCGTCGTCGCAGTTGGTCTGTACGTGTATCTGGGTGTTGAGTTTCTTGAATTTCAGGGATTTGTTGTTGATTGGTATCTCCGGTGTAACTGCGCTTGATATGAATGTTGACAAGGTGCCTACCAATCTATTACCCACCAACTCGTCCATACTGGTTCAAGGAGACAGTTGGTCGTTGCTGGAGGGGACAGGGTGTGCCGTTCACGAGACGGTGCTAGCCCTAAAGAGTGGTGCTTTGCATCCAGTGTGGAACGAGCTACGGCATAGCCACTGTTTTGTGTACGTCTGGCACGCATGATTGCCCATTTAGGTATGAATGCCTCTGCTCTGCTTGTCGAATGTGTGGCCAGCGCCGTTTGTGAAACGTGGCTACCATCCGCATGCCTCCAGGTCTTAGTCCTTCGGGTTTACACTGTACATGGGGCGTATGGATAGACCAGTGGGTGGCGCAGCGCAGGACACTAGTGGTCCCTCAATAGGTGCAGGCGTCCGGTGGCTGTCCCGTGGAGGGCATAGTGACAGGGCAAATCCAGGACCGGATGCCGCCAATCAAGTATAAGGGCCACAATTGGTGGTCGTGTGTGACCCTCACGGAAACAAATGTGACCTATGTCCACCCGTTGATGGATCCTCAGTTTGACATGTATGTTCAAAAGCATGTGCAGATATTGGTATGGTCAATCCAATGATGCCATATCAAGGGAGCAATACGCAGCCGCAAGTGGTTTTCCGGTTTGCATGTTCAACCGAACTAAGTGCGGCATCGGTGGCTAGATATGTGGAAGCAAGCCCACATCAGGCATTCAAAGGGTATGAAGAAGCCCGATCCACTGTAACAGACAGTACAGTGCTTGCCCAAAGGTCTTTTGCAAGCGTCAAATGTAGGACCACAGCGCTGCACACGAAAAACTGTGCATGCATGGGTGGTCTAGAACAGGTGGTCCGCCAGTGCTGTTCTGGAGTGATCGAGTGATGTTTGGGGTGGAACATGCAACTTTCATTGGGGCTCCGGTTTAGTTTAAACCAGACGTCGATTATTGGATCCGAGGGCTGGTATCCAAAGTGGGGAGGTTTCGGTGTGGATCTTCCCCAACTACACACGCCATGGCCGGTTTAGTTTTTGTTTGGACTCAGTGATTGGCAGTTGACGTGACGAACAGTGTTAAGGAGATAGGATTTCCAACTATCTAACGATTGACTAGCCATAAGTAAAATTTTCCCGGAAACATCACTTTCCGAATAAATGGTTAATGGTCCAGTTAGAAGATAAGGAAAAAGTACTTAAGAAATGACTTAGAAATTGTGCAATCAACTAACTATCTAGTTAAGCAAACAAGCAAATCGACCAGTGAGCTAACCAGCTGCAACTTAAAGTCGACTACTCCGGTGGGAACAGAAGGCAAACAGGCTACTCCTTGTTGTCATGGGCCGTAGACATGCCAACGTAATACGCATCCAGCTGCTACTTGATGCGTGCGGTAGGTCACAAGTAACCATCGTCCCGTGTCAAAAATCTCGTTGTGTGTCCACTGCGTGAAACGAACTGCATAGCACTGTAGCTAGGGTGGCCCGAGTAACATAGGAGACGGTGTCTGCACCCTATTGTGGATGTGAAAACGTATGTCGCAAATGGGCAGCATGCTAAGGTGGATACGCCGCAGTCTATGGGCACAATCAGCCACAACAAGCATTGGGAAGAATGTGGAATTCATCTTGAATTCAAAGGAAAAGTTGTAAAAACGGAATAGGGAATTGTTGATGAAGCAGCAGCAAATTGGGCGTTGCCCGCCTGAAAACACTGCACTCCATTTTGATGAATTAACATTGATGAATTGATGATGGATTAACATTGATGAACTAACATTTTACAGATGAATGGAGGGATAAAGACTCTGCCGCACAGTGAAATCCAATTCCATCACAGGAATGGAGAGTGAATAAGTAAATGATATCAGGTTCAAGAGCAAATTAGCCTTTATGCAAAACTTTGTGGAAGAAAGCAGCCTGTAGAAAGTTGAATCAACCTGGAGCCTTTGAGTACTTAGGGCCTCGTAAAATCATGCGGTAAACGTGGTTCCGCCAGATTTCGAAGTGTACGGGAGCGCTTGATACCTGAAGCAATGTTCATCGCATCGGCTGTGTGATGTGGTGACATGCGTGCTTGCCCCGATGGAAAACGGTTAAGACAAAACGCAAGGCTCAAATGAGGGAAATGATCGCTGGAATAGGTTAAAAAAAGTGTCTTCTGACTGACCATTTTTCATCGGCCGATGAGTTGCTCACAAGGCAGCAGCCGACCGCATCCTAGAGAATGAGTTGCACATGCATCGCAAAAAGTGCGAAAAATAGTTCGCTGAAGTAAAATAATACGTGCGCAGGTGAACATGTGACTAGGCCTTGTTTCGTCAGGAACATAATACTAAGTCTGGCAGTAAGCCGTGATTCATAAATAGTTAATCGGATGAGGACGAGACCAGTCGAGAGCCGCCAATGATGCGAAAAGATTCGGAGTCGTTCGTGTTTACACGGAAGCACTGTATTGAACTAAACTGAGCTACATCTGAATGACTAAGTCAGTGGGGAAAAGAACATCAAGATTGCATCGATTAGACAGCAGCGCGTAGGTTAAGTATGGTTAATCACATGTTTTGGTAACAAGCACGTTATTTTCATACAAAAAATGACAAGCAAGCACTTCGATATCAAATAGAAAGAGGTACAAAGAAACGACATATTGCATTTCTTTGTCATTAGCATCTACATGATTGGAGACTACGCATAGCGTTCAGTAGACAGTGACTTTCCGGTTAGGTAGAGACAATATGTAGTAGGGAAAAAACTGGAGCATCATCAACGAAACAGTGGACATGATGCATCTTCCAGTATGGTGTAGACATTGCGCAGTGAGCCGCAAACCAGTGTGAAATACAGATAATCGTGAGCGGGTTAACAGAGTGAAAAGTTCCAGTCGAAATCAACGACATGGTTCACCCAATGTAAAGCAAATCGGGAACTTCCCGCAAAACAAACCTGGTCGGCACATGTGGCCTGAATCGCGTAAATCAAACGAACCAAATTGATACGATCTTTCTTCCTCAGGGCTTTTGCTAACAGACCGCCCAACTGACCAACGACGATGGTCTGCAGATCACGATAAACAGAACGTCCAATCGCCTCAGAGTAATAGGCCTCCAAACGCAAAAGCTGTGTCTGCACGGACTTGATCATACTGATAACTTCAATCATAGCGAAGCGCTCTTCTGAGTTGTAGTTATATTTGGTTGCCTGCGAGATGAATGAGAGGGAAAAGCTATGAAAAAACATTTCGACGAGTGGATAGCTTCTAACTAAACCGAGATATGAGGCGACACACACCAAGTGTAATGTGGGCACCAGCTGTGCGCACTAGAACCACTACGGCCATTCAATAGAGATTAGGCGGCTGGTGTATTATAACCCGTACACGTCTCACCGCTTGCCACCCAATCTGTCCCCTTAATTGCAGTAACAATGACAGCGGTATATAAGCCCCATATGCACTCACGACAGCAGTTATACAAATCTCCTTTGTCTCCAAAATTGGGCTTTTGAATACCCGCCATGTGCTGGAATGGTGAACCACTGAGGCCGAGTTTAAAGTAGACCGAGATCCAAATAGAGATGCCCGTGTCGCAATCCAACCACACGCCGGGAACTCCAAACCTAACCCTCAATTCCTAACCGCCGTGCCAAGTGTCCCTCACGGATCTCAGTGGTCTGGTAATAAATGGGTCAACCGTTAACCATTATATCACGAGTTCAACACACGTCTTCGATTAGCTCTACCTGATGAGTCCGGAGAAGGACGAAACCGTCGGTCGTGGAGTGCGTTGTCGGGGGCTAGTTACACCGAATAGTCCTCAATTCTTCCACCTTTTTCCTCCAATATTCTATCTATTCCAAACACACATGCATTCACTCTCTTATCTTCACTTCAGTGCTGGTTTTAGATGCATTACTCAACGATAACAATGTAGACATTAACTATGAGGCAATTGTGTCTTTTGCCTGTCAATCAGCGTTAATTAGATTTCACGAAAGTGCATCTCAAGTCAGAAGTACAAAATCTGATTACTCTAGTATGATATCAACTCACACACAAATTTCGCTTGATACTCAACTTTTAATGTTAGTTTACCTTGTAATATTAAAATCCTTTGAAGTACTTTGTCAGACACGTTGTCACGACGAAAACTTTGCCCAGTTTTATCATCCCCGTCCCTTTATGTGTCGCCACTCGTGTTGTCAACGATACACAGAACACGTGAATCGGTTCGAACCAAGAAGGATGAATATGAGGGTGGAGGGCCCTTTGTCTACCAATTCCATGATTTGATCTATGGTTAACATCATTTCAGTACAATGTCGTAAACAACGATCAACTGTCTTGTAACTTCGTGCAGTTTAGCAATGATATTGGACACGGGTAAAGATTTTTACAGTCTCAACTCAGTAAACTTATCGGATCTTAACACGAAGACTGCTTCTTGCTTAACCGAGATACATAGATTATTACTATTACTAATATTATGACAATGTGATGAATATTACTTTTCAAAGAGAACTAACTATGGCAACAACAGTACAAAATGTTGTTTGCTAGTGATTTCCGCTTACGCCCCCACCGACTGCAGTTCAAATGCTGTCAAGGACACATTCTATCACGAACTGAACGCGCTACTACGCAGTGCTACTAGTTTAGATATCAGAGTACTTGCAGGGCATAGGAACGCACAAGTAAGGCGTCTGAGCTCTTCAGAAGTTCAGCTGGGTGGTAATTATGGGCTTAACTCCTAACGGACTGAAAACGGCGAGCGTCTGCCGCAACCGTGCGCGGAGCACCAGTTGTTTCTTAGTAGCACTGCTTTTAGACACTGTGGTCGCCGAAGTGCCATTTGGCGTCCTCCTGTAGCTGGTCAGCGATGGACCCAAATGGACCATATTGCCATAAGGTACAGATGGCGTGGTTCCATCCTGGATTGCCGTTCGTACTGGAGTACCTACGTCGACTCTGATCATGCCTTGGTACGCTGTCGTTTCTTCACGAACTTTACCGGGAGGCGCACCAAGCGTCCCCTCCGAGTGGCAACCGAGAAATTGTCTGTCCTCGGTCAGGCAGGCCTATCAAGATGCACAACATACCGAACTGTCTTGTTCTAATGACACCGAGCTTCAGTGGAATAGGATCGCGGCCGCCATGCACGACACAGGAGCATTCGCTTGTGGCACTACCCATCGTCAACGCACCAGTCACTGGATATCCGAGAGGTCGGTGAACCTGTTGGAATCCAGAAGAAAACTCCCAGCTGGCTCTGAGCACATAGTGACCAGACGGATTATTAGACGCGAACTAAAGCGGAGCCTACGTGCTGACAAGGAAGCCTCAAGAAATGGAGGAGGCAGGAGCAGTAGGCAATACCGCAAGCTCTTCCAGCTGATCCGCACCACTGGTCCCAGGAAACCAGGCGTCAGTGAGAAAATCAGAGAGCGCGGGTGCACTGAAACACAATAAGGAGCGCCGCGGAACATTTCAAGATCAGTTCAGCTGGCCCCCTGCACCCGAACCTCGTCCTACTCAGGTCATGAAGGACGAGCCGTGGACGGTTAGTTTAGAGCCTCCGTCGGAGGCCGAGGTCCGAAACGCGATTACAGCCCTCAATCGTTTTCGTGCCTCTGGCCCGGATTCCCTCCCACCTGCAATGCTTAAAGATGAAGGTGAGGTCCTCTGCAAAGCATTGACCTCCTTATTTGAATCTATCTGGAAGGAAAAGAGTGTCACGGCTAATTGGAGCGAATCGATTATAGTGGCAATATACAAGAAGGGCAGTCGCACAGACTGTTGTAACCACAGGGGTATCAGCCTAACGCCAGTTGTGACAAAAGTACTGGCCCCGATTCTCATTCGTCGCCTCACTGTGGAACCGGAATCTCGGATTACGGAAGAGCAGGCTGGTTTCCGCCCAGGACGTGGCTGTATAGACCATATATTCACTTTGCGGCAGGTGCTACAGCAGCGCCACGCATACCACAGACCGACAATAGCTATGTTCCTTAATTTCAAAAGCGCGTTCGATTCAGCCAATCGATAGATGCTGTTCGAAATACTTGCGCGGAAAGGTGTTCCCACGAAATATGTGAACATCCTACGTGCTTTATACTCGAACATTACAGGCCACGTCAGGGTCTACGGTGGCCTATCGGATAGCTTTCTGACTACAAGTGGCGTTCGTCAGGGTTGTCCGATTTCCCCGTTTTTGTTCAATTTCGTCGTGGATTCTATCATGGATTGTTCCGTTGCGGAATCTCATGATGTAGGCGTTGAAGTGCTGCCTGGTGAAAGATTAATTGATCTTGATTATGCGGACGATATCATCTTGATTTTCGACGAGGTTGCGGTTGCACAATAAACCCTGAATAGCCTGTCCAGGGTGGTCCCATTATTTGGTATGCGCTTCACACCTTCAAAGTGTAAAGTGTTGGCAAAGGATCACCAGCTAGTTGATGACCCCTTGATAACAAGGAACTCGAGGTGGTTGATCAATTCGATTATCTTGGCAGCTGCATCAGCAACGAAGGGCGAATAGAAACTGACGTCAGCTCACGCATTGCAAAGGCCAGAGCTGCCATCTTGAGCCTGAGGCATCTTTGGTGACAGAAGGGAGTTTCCCTCCGTCGGAAAGGCCGTGTATACAAGGCCACACTGAGAGCGGTTCTACTGTATGTTAGTGAGACTTGGCCCCTTCGGTCTGAAGATCTGAAGCGCCTTCAATCAGCGTTGCTGGTGTCGGATGGCACCAGCGTGTCAGCAACGATCATGTGTGTAGGAGTGTACTAGATAGTGATAAACATGCTAGCTCTCTAGAACAACAGATAGCATTGAATAAGTTGCGTTGGCTCGGGCACGTGTTACGTATGCCTGGTCACCGCTTACCTAGAAGGGCCTTGTTTAGTCTGCCAGGTGCAAGGTGGCGCAAAGCTCGAGGTGGACGGAAGTTGACCTGGCAGCGGGAAATGAAGTCACTGACGACCAAACTGGGTGCCGTTGGTCCGTCTCGCCTTCCGGGCTGGAGTCCACGTGACTCACCTTGTGCTTGGCTCGAGACTTTACAGGATATGGCTCGCAACCGGTACCAGTGGCAAGTTTGTTGCCGTCTCCTAATCGAATTTTCTGTTTAAAGTGGGTTTGGTGCTGAGTTATCTGCGGGGTAATGGCTGATTATGACGCGGGGCAGTGAAAGCCGCAAGGAAGCTGTGTTGCCGATGCCGCCTTATTTTTGCACGATAGCCAGCTGTTTGCGACGGTATGTTGTTAACACAAGGTTTAGGCGCCTTGGCCCTGAATGTTTGCTTACGGCACTAAGGTTTTTAGGTAAGTCCTCCTTTACTCCCTCTTACTATTCTTTATTTCATAGGTCATCGTGGTTGTATGGCAGCGAAGCATCAGTTCAAACGGCTGATGTACTGCTGTTGTTGATGATGAATAACAGTGCGAAGTGAATTAGGATAGCCAAATATGAAGCAAGCGATGAATAATAATTAGTTTGTTTGGTTTTGGCGAGTGGACATAGAACACGTCGGTTACTGACCGGATGTCGTCTTGAAAACAGTGGAAGGCATTATCGAGCTTTGAGTTTATGTTGCAGTGAGATCCACAAGGCAGTATCAAGCACTAACCATTAGGAGTTGAACAGTAAAGATTTTACAGAAAACACAGTTTGGTGGCACAAGAAGTGAAAGATATGTTGTGATTTATGCCAATCACACAGAAGTGCGGTCAACAGACAAATTGCGGAAATCCGTTAAACAAGTGTGCATCTAAGTGTTGCAGATCTGCACGGAGGGTAGCGACAACTCAATGAGACACGGGAAAGCACAGAATGATAGGATAATAAACTAGAAAGCGATTATCATCCAACAACATATTAAAAGGCCCAAGACAAGTGATATAAGCAAATTAAGACGAATAGACTGGACAGTTGGCGGAGGTGCAGGATAACCACTGACACCGCGCAGACCCAGAGATACAAAGGTAGCATATGCGTGTGAGAGTCCTTCGGAGGGAAACAGACAATTTCAAGCAACGGAAAACCAAGCGACTGGACGAACCTTTTCGTAACTTTCTGCATCTCGAGGACACTGACGATTCGTTTCATGGGACGCACAATGTGCCAATTTCCAAGTAAACGTATCCAGCACCTGAACAGACCAACCCGATAAATATTGCAGTCCGCGAAGTGCCAGTTCATATAACTCACGGTTTTCTTTCGATGAGCGTTCGCTTATTCGGGTGGAGGTCAAGTTAGTGTGCCAAGCCAAGTCCGAAGTGAGAGAAGTGTATTCCTCACTTGGAAGAAAACGTAAACACATGTTGAGATCATGTGTGGAAATATAGGGTAGCGGTGAATGTCATACGTAGGATGATTTGCAAATCTAATATGTCGAAAAATCTTCAGGAAATCGAGGATGGTAAATTTTGGGGGCGTAGGCCTTATAAGTACCAATAGTCGGAAAGCAACGATGACGGAAATAACATGAAAAGAAAAAAGTTATGCATCAAAAAACGTAGACAAGACAGCGGTAGAGATAACTAGAGGTAGTTAACATCCACTTAGTTATTAGGAAAGTGTTACTTCGCAGGCACTGGTGGCCACATGCGGAATATCATCTAATGTGTCCAATTTGCGGTATCCATGTGTATGATTGACGCAGCTGCAGCGTTTCAACTCATTATTTCTACCGACAATGTCACAGCCCACTATCTCTATATAAGGATGAGGCGTAGAAAAGAAACATGAAGCTTACCGATGCGTGTGGAACTCTCCAGTTTGAAGCAACCAACAAAGGTAACGCAGCTGCTCAGACGAGTAGATCCACAGACAGCGTCCACAACAACTATGGTGACAAGCTACGACGATTCGACCCAGTGTACATGCTAGAGAATGCGCCGCTGGATGTCAGCCTATACAGCAGTGCCTAAATAGCAGATGGGTCCAGTACAAAGATAATACCGCCCACATGCCACAAGTTTGATATTCGGTTACCTAACAGAATCGGTAGTTCAATGAACAGTGATTTATCACGGGTAAAAATGCATGTGCTTGACAAGTCCTGTAGGATGGTTGGAGTGAAAATTAAGATTAGTGGGATCAAATAGTATAAAGTACCGTTATAGTTCAGTAAATGTATGAGAAAGAAAAAGGGAAACGACAACGTTTGCTCGTGTGTTGCTTCATTTGGCAGATGTGGTATGTTAATCCAGTTCAGAACATCCAGGCTACTCACATGGCCACTTCTACATGTATCCTCACCACCACGTTGCGCAGAGGGCCGTTAAGCACATGGTTAGTTTTGCGTTATTTCGTCCTCCAAGTGGAACGGACTATATCAAGTAATGCAAGTTGGAAAGTGTCATCAAGGCGATGTTTAAATAGCGTTAATGTAGGGGCAAGCACAACGTGAGTCGGAGGGGCATTCCAGGTACGGGACAGACGGACGGAGAAAACGTTTCGTCGAAAATCAAGTCGACTGTAGTGCTTAGCCAGTTTGAGCTGATGGCCTCTCAGGTTGGCATTTTGGCTCCGCTGCAACAGACTGCGACATGGGTGAATTGGGTTCGTCAGTATCAAGTAAACCACGATTAGGTTTCCTCGCTGACGTCGATATGCACCACTGTACAGTCTCAGGGACTACAGTCTGCGTTGGTAGGGTAGGTGAAATAATTAACGAGTTTGGTTGCTCTACGTTGTGTATCTTCAAGTGCATCGACGTCGCGCTTGCGCCAGGCCTGGATCGCATATTCCACGTGAGGGCTCACGTAGGCGTTCAGCATTTGTGGAAAGATTGATGACTCGAAATTCCCGAAAGCCCATGGTAAGAGTCCAAGATGTTGACCGGCTCTTTTTGATACCTTTTCAGCCTGCCTCGAGCAACCAAGACCGTACTGCACCATCACTACGAAGTCGTTTTCTTGGGAGGCACGTTGGAATTTCTGGTCCCTGTTGTGTGCCTGATTCTGCCAACCGTGTCAAGAGAAAGAAAACACACTGGCTACGCACACAAGTGCTGTATTCACAAGTCTCAGGCAAAGTACGACTAACTGCGTGGTTAAAAACTCACCTGCCCACTCGATCGATCGCCTGATCGACCACATTGCGGCAGGCGATTCCATTAGCCCCAGCTGTCAGCCCCATCACATCCTCTCCTTTTTATTTTTCGATATGTTGTTGCCATAAGTTCCGTACGGTTTTCCGCTGCGCGTACGGATGATGTCTCGGGCAGTTTGGTGCACCCTTTCTTACTGCTGCTGTCGATCCTCGCTTTGCGGAGTCCGTCTATTACGTGCTCTCCTAATTTGCACCCGATTCCGTCTAATGATATTGCTCCCTATCCTGACGTCGTAGCTTCAAGTCGATAATCATAGATAAGCTGATGGCGTATGCTTACGACTTTGCACTTGGTCACGTTGAACTGGAGCCGGTTATCGGATAACCACGCATAAGCCCTGTCGAGATCGCTTTGCAATGCCATGTGATCATCCGATGTCCTGATATCATGCCAAATTTTGACATCATCTGCAAATAGTAAGAAATTCGATTGCAGTACACTGGCGAGATCGTTAATGAATGTTAGGAATAAACGTGGCCCAAGTACCGATCCTTGGAGCACGCCACACTGGACGTCAATTGGGTCGGAAATGGAGCTGCGAACTCTCATGTTCAGCTGACGATGAGCAAGGAAGTTGCCGATCCAACCGAGTATAGGGTCACCGATTGCATAGCTTCGAACCTTGTGCAAGAGAATGCGGTGGTCTAAACGATCGGACGCTTTCGAGAAGTCCAGGTAGGCAACGTCGACTCCCAACCTGGCATCGGCTGACTGTCCAGCTTGCTCGGGCAAGCAGTAAGTTTGTAGTGCAGGATCGATTTCGGTGGAATCCGTGTTGCCGTGACACTAGGATGTTATTGCTCCCAATATATCCTATGAGCATCTCTGCAATTATACGTTCCATTACTTTGGATAAAAAAATGGAATGATAGTGATTGGACGGTAGTTCGAGGGCTCCGAAAGATGACCACTTTTATAAATAGGAGTGACTACTCCACATTTCCACATTGTGGGAACCTGCATTTAGTCGAAATAACGTTGAAAGAACCGAGTTAATGGTTCGGCAAGGTTCACGGCCGCTGTCTTCAAGGCCTTCGGTTTGATGTCGTCCACGCTAGGTGAGCTGTGCACGCGCAATGACATCAGCTTTTTCATCATATTGGCTGCCGTGAGCGAGACGTGGTTTAACCCTGGTGGCGATGGAAGCTGTGTCAAAAGCGGATGAAATGATGATACACACCAAGAATTGCCTTGTTTGCTTCTTAACTCACGTGTTAGAGTACTTGGCTTCTAGGTAAAGGAGATGACCTTTTTGATCGTCATATATAAGAACGAAAGAACGTGGTTCATGACTTCGTATGGCATTGTTGTGTTCGGTTTCCCATGTCGATAACTTTCCCCTGTGTGTTCAAGGCAGAGTTTGTCACATTTGTTACAGTGTATTTAGTATATGACACCGGTTGGATTCCTCGGTCATAAAAGCAATCCTCTCAAAGTAGCAGTCAGACTTGTGCGCTACCCTGCTTCGGTGTGGTTGTAGAAATCGCGCTGTTAATTCGGAAACGTTTTTGGTTTATGAAAGCACGCCCGCTCATTTATCAGTTCGTGCTGTCACCGAAATGTTACGCAATCCGGGCACCTTCTAACAAAGTTTCGTCCATATCTGTTGTTCCGCAACACTCGAGGCACACTTACTAACGCATTCATACTCTCCGCTACAAATCAACGCACCGATTATATCACCTCGATTGGCGAAGTGTTGGTAACAATTTTAAACTCAATGAACAGTTCGATAACCAAATGAAAATTCTGAGCTACCAACACCTTCAACGTCAGGAAAGATCTGTGTTCCGAGTTGCGCTGGATGGTCTCATCAAACTGACACTTAAAAACTATCAAAGCTACCGATCCATTTCGCAACTCCTGGTAACATGATGTTCCAGTAGTACGGACATCCTGACGTAACCATCTTGCGTACTTCCATCAAGCTTAACGGAAAAGCTAGAAATTCACCAAATGTTTAAAAGCTGGGTAAACCCATCAGCCACGAGTGCTTTTGCGTCGTACACTGAAGTGTATTTTAACCTGTCTCGTTCGTGTGTGACAGCTGATACTGACATAACAGTGATATTGCTGCTTAGCATATTGTGCATGCCGTTGATCAAAGCGACTAAGAGTCCAACCATCAGTACGCACAGATGACAAAACAAGAGGCGACCCGAGAAATTTTAACTACAAAGAGGATGAAACACTAAAGACATTGCAATATTCCCCTTACGTGACAGCAGACTACCGGATGAAGTAACTCAGTAGGAGCAACGTCGGCGTTAAGTAACACCTTACCAGAAGCGCGGCATGTGCGTAAGAAGTGCTCCCTGATTTGACAAACGAGAGCTCTGACATTCGGGCCATTTGGAAGGGTCGAAAGATGCCGTCTGTCGGACATAGGAGAAGGGTTCGACACTCATATCACCAAACAGGTTGACCACCTCGCACTCCTATATTACAGTTTACCTGGAAAACGAAAGAATGCATACCTTAAGGATTCGATCCAATTTAGACAAAATTAGGCGTTTTCCAAGTTTGTTGAGATTTACGCCAACTTGTTTGCCATCTACAGTACGAGTTGAGTCTAACAGATACAGGGAAAAAGCGATCACCTGGAAAGTGATATCATAAGCGAATTAGCTACTGGGAGTGAACTTACAATGACATGCGTATGCTTCTCTTCGGGTAGTACATACCCCTTATTCTCATACATTTGGGCGCTATTGTGAATTATCTCCACTAATAAATCTTCGTAACCATCCACAGCATTCAAACGCTCTTTCAAAGTATCGCGGATAATTTTTTGCTTGGCCAAAAACATGCTAACTTTCTGAGACTCTTCCATGGCCTTAGGGTCGTGATGTTGCAAAAATTGGGTTGCTCTAACAAGGGATCTTCAAAGAAAACTGGTGTAAATTAACCTCCGATAATTGGAATAGTCATTCTTCATGCTAGCTTTCATATTTTTCATTTCATCCAATAATGCGAACATTTTGAGCATTTTGCCCAAAGTGACCAAATACGCTTGATTGACAAAAAAGTTCTTTTGTTCTTTATGCGCCAGGCGTTTCACTTCCTCAGCAAATCGAGAGCTAGCGGCATCCTAGCGGCATCTATGAATACGAAACTTGGGCCGTTACCTGGAAATACATGAATTCTTTCAGTTTTATAGCATACGGTTCCAAGATCTCTACAGTTTTCTTGTAAATCTCCATTCGATGTGGCTGTTCGTTGGAACGAATCTTTAAGCAAAAGATTTGAAGATAATAAAGACAAAAGACATCATACAAAGGGGAGCGCGCGAGAAATTGATCGCCAGGTGTACAGCATAATTGCAAACTCCTGGCCTTTCTCTAGCAACGTGTTCAATTGCGAATACACCCGAGCATCATCGGCCGAGCGAGCAAACGCCGACTTGAAGGCAGTGATGTCATTGAAGTTGGTGTCTGTACTAGACTAAAGAACATACGTCTGGCACAGTGGAGAAGCTCGCTAACCTGAAAAAGCAGCGAACAATTCGCAGCCTGGATTGAAGGTGCATCTTCGTCTAAATTTATGTCCAGCAGCGCATTCACTTTGCGCATTGCGTCCGCCAGGTAGACTCGAGGATGTTCGATGCTTGCCATGATGCTGTATGAAAAACGAAAAAGGAGAGCATGGATAAACACGAAGAGGAGGGAAAGCAGTGTGCGTAATTGTTTAATGGACCGCACACTATCGCACAAAACGTAAAAACATGAGGACGCAAATAAGAATCGTCATCCTGTTGGTCATCTGTGTCATCATAATCAGAGTTGCGACGAATTTAACCTATGCAATGTAATTCCTAAGTAAGCAATGCGTCGCTTAAACTCCTAATAATCCGCGGGATACGCTTAGAAAGCTGTTGCTCAAAAGCATCGCCTTGTCAGCGGTACGGCGAAAACATGATTCACTGGAAAGCGAGCAGTGCCATATCGCACCTAGAAACCTAGCCATTTCTGTAGTTGCTGTTTCTTATGACCTAATTGTCATAGACTAGTAAGAGTAGGGCAGCCGGACGTACATTTACAGGGAATGGATAGAAGATGAACTGCTGATAACTAACGGAAGGAGAGAAAGCAACCAGATGCTTTTCTAAACGCATCGTAGTCGTCTGACTGAACCCAGTTGTGGCAAGTTTAACTTATGTAATCATGAGCACCTATATGAGGTCGAATATGCAAACGATCTCAGTAACTATACGTCAGCCATCGCCAGTGTAGCCATAAAAATACCAGAACTCGTCAACAACCGCCAGGCCCTCAAGTCAAAGAGCAACCGAATAGCAAGGGGACGGAGTTCCCGCAAAATCATTTTGCAATCGTGAGGTAAAAAGTGGGTGCCAAAGGATGGCACTACTCAGGAGTCCGTGTAAGATTGGCTTGGACGCATCGCAATCATCGACCTGCGAGATAATTTGACCCGAATCATTCAAATGCCTTGTCATGGTCAGTATGCGTATGAGTACCGTCGGTTCACATCAACGATGCACATCAACGAATTGCAGAGCCGTTTAAGATAAGCAAAAGACGATGATCCATCTATAAAACCATTCTCGTAAATCACTAGGCCCCGAGTTCCACCTCAGACCAGGCTATCCCCATTTGATGAGTCCAGAACGACGAAACCGGTCATTGGATGTCAGTGTCGAGAGGAGCAACACCGAAACATTTCCATTACGGATACGGTCCATGAGATCGGAATGACTGGGATCTACCACAAAGTGAACAGAGGTCGCAATAAAGATGGCGTGGCGCCATCCATCCACACGGCGGGTACCCAGAATATGACTGAGCCGAGTGCTCTTCAGGTGTTGCGTGCTCCTATTTCGAGTCATCACGCATCGGTTTATCGGAATCCTCGAGCATTTAGGCCGCTTGATGAGCAGGTGCCTACCAGTGGCATCTATTCAGGGGTCTGTGCTCGAGCTTCTCTCCTCGCGACCGGGATGTATGGAGTAGAGACTCCTGTGAGGTAGGACTTGAACTTTTTCCCAGGCTACTTAGACACTATCGTCTCGCAAGATCTCAACGCAAATCTGAAGTCTTGGATGGCATTGCTTGATAGTTCATGTGACATATGTTTGGATGTGACTCAACGGTACTCTGGAGACGTCTAGACAGAGCACAAATGAAGAGCAAACAAACATGATCACTAGCAACCAGAGGAGAGTGGTAAGTAATGCCACCAACGAAAATTGACTGAGTTAGCAAACACAATGTCCGAAACAGATGGCACTTGGGCGTCCATGTACTAAGTGCAAAGGTTAAAGAATCGATGCAACGATACATCCTTGATAGCACGAGTGCCCACCGAATGACCGATTTCCGTCCGAAAACAGCTACGAGTGAAAAAGCTGAAATCGAAGAAAACTACAGAACCATTTTGCAACGCACCGAAACACCATTTTTGAAGTAGGAAATATGTATTGCGCAGGAGCTGCTCGAATGTGCTACCAGGGCTTCCATGAACAACTGCGACTGTAAGTATGGCCGAGGAACTGCTAAGCACAGCCGAAAGAGCTTCAGTAGTTTTGTCTACCGACTGAGACAAGTAGATCCACAAAACGTCATATTTACAGTTCATACAGAGCGACGCCAACGCCTTGTCTGCAGATGAAGCAATCACATTTAGACAGTGCATATCCAGGTAGGTGCAGTTCACCGTCCCTGAAGTTTGGAGACAGACACATTTCAGTGAATGCGAGTATGTCGGGATGAGACCCACCTACCAAAAACCTAAGTCGTACATCGTATTTCTTAGGCTACGCACACTGATAAGCACTATATGAAGGAATTCGCAATAGCCAGCCCAGATCCTGCGAGGGAAAAATCGGCAACGGCAGTGGGTCCAGTAATGTGACACCGGTAGAAATAGCAGAAAAATTGTCAAATACTGCGATTTATAAATAACGGGTGTCGATAAGAGCATCGCCAAGCGTAAATAATCACAATGGTACTATCTTATGCATCCGGACGGGGATTCCGAGGGCTAAGGCGTCCAGCACGTGAGTAGGTGGAAATAAACTTAGGGTCCGATATAGAAAGCAAATCTCTCATAGGCGGCAGGATGACGTTATCCCAATCAGCTGGTAAGAGGCCATAATAAATGCAACGTGCGACTGCATAACTCTTCGTAGAGCGCTGGATGGCACTGTCACAGTTTAGAGCAACATGTTCCCTGTCTCAGTATGAACAAAACAATAAGACAAGCACTGCAAGATGGCACCACTTCGTATTAGCTGATCACTGGCAAACTAACGACATTTATAGTTCACGTAGCGCGAAGGAAACTATCGTTCTGAATCGGTCAGAACAAATGCAAAAAAACATAAAACAATAGCTGGTAAGGCTGGAGCAAAGGTCATGAACCCCAAGGAAGCTTAAGGGTTACTGCCAGTAATTTTTGCACACAAAGATGTAGCAGGGTAACGATTTAGGGACACAACCTCGGCTAACTTCAGCACCCTGGCGTTTCCGTTCCGGCAGATAACCGTAAAAGTTGACCCACGATCATCTTGATGACCTGTATCGAATACGTGTCTAGCGATGGATGATACCAGTAGATTGCCTGCTGCTCCTTGTCCGAATGCTTGTTGTGCCATCAGCCTAGCAATTCGCTTCGGAATGTGCTCTCTAATCCGCTTCCTCAGACAACGATCTGTTCTACCAAAGTAACTGCTTCCGCAGGTACAGACGAATTGGTACATGCAATGAGTTGTGGCGGAGACCGGTTGAGTAGATTTGATTGGGGGCATCGGCAGCTTTTTGGCTGTCCAGATAGGATAGAGTTTGGCAGTGTTGAATGTACGACGAATAGCTGTATTCATCCGTCGTTTGCGCCGTCACCACATTGCCTTCGAAGTGTAGCTGTAAATAGACGGAAATTTTGGGCACAGTAAGTACTCTTGGTTTGTTTTCCTTCGAGTGACTGTGAAATCTGACGAACGCCTCTGGATATCCATTGGCCTATGATGTCTGTTGGATGAACGATCATTCCGACTCCACGCAGTCAGTCTCTACTCAGTGCACCTCCCAACGTTCGTTACACCTGTGAGCTAGAGGACAACAATTGTCTTGTTTTTCGGGATGTGTTGTTGACAAGACGAGAGGATGGCTCAAAAAGATGCTCGGTTTACAGGAAAGTTACATGCACAGGCCTATATGGGAACTTCAATAGCTTTGTGCTGGTCCAATGCAAACGTTGCCTTGTCAAGACGTTCGATCGGGCCCGTATAATATGCAGTGCTGACTATGTGCAGTCGGAATTATCGTTCGTCACACAGACAACGTGCCAATGGATATTCAGAGGCATTCATCAGAGTACACAGTCACTCGAAGGGAAACAAACCAAGAGTACTTACTGTGCCCAAAATTTCAGTCTATTCACAGCTACCCTTCGAAGGCAATGTGGTGATGGCGCAAACTAAACGACGGATGAACACAGCTATTCGTCGTACATTCAACGCTGCCAAACTCTATCCTATCTGGACAGCCAAAAAGCTGCCGATGCCCCCAATCAAATCTACTCAACCGGTCTCCGCCACAACTCATTGCATGTACCAATTCGTCTGTACCTGCGGAAGCAGTTACTTTGGTAGAACAGATCGTTGTCTGAGGAAGCGGATTAGAGAGCACATTCCGAAGCGAATTGCTAGGCTGATGGCACAACAAGCATTTGGACAAGGAGCAGCAGGCAATCTACTGGTATCATCCATCGCTAGACACGTATTCGATACAGGTCATCAAGATGATCGTGGGTCAACTTTTACGGTTATCTGCCGGAACGGAAACGCCAGGGTGCTGAAGTTAGCCGAGGTTGTGTCCCTAAATCGTTACCATGCTACACCTTCGTGTGCAAAAGCTACTGGCAGTAACCCTTAAGCTTCCTTGGGGTTCATGACCTTTGCTCCAGCGCTACCACCTATTGTTGTATGTTTGTATGCATTTGTTCTGACCAATTCAGTACGATAGTTTCCTTCGCGCTACGTGAACTATAAATGTCGTTAGTTTGCAAGTGATCCGATAACACGAAATGCTGTCATCTGGCAGCGCTCGTCTTCTTATTTGTTCAGAGTGATAAAGAGAACATGATACTTTAAATTTATGAGACGATGGCTTCCTACCGATACTATTAAACTCCTTGATGGACTAGTAACACGCAGATGCAAGATTGCAGGAGAGAAAATGCGAATTCCTTTATTATCTGAGTGCAAACGCAAAGCTCGATGTCCTCGGCAGTTTTGTAAGTTGCTGCGTTGAAACCAACTGAGACCTACCAACGCGAATTTGAAGCGACTCGCTAACTCCTATTTGGAGGAGGCTACCAGAACTCTTTCTCAATTGATAGAGACACATCAACGCCGTGTGACGATCACTGACCAGCTTTCATTCGTTTTGTGTATAAAGTTCACGAATTTTTGCAAAACCGTCGTTGACAGAACGAAGAGGGAACTAGCCAAGGCACAGCAGAGATCCCCTGCAAATGCAGATGAACCCATGTTTTCTGGTGAATTACAGAGGCATGTGTGCAACTTGTCATCAGTACTATTGGCTAGAAAACAACTGGAAGCGTCATCATTAGGCATAGACCTCAAAAGACCTCCCAAGA